CCGACTCAAAGAAATGTCACAATAGAAGCGTTGGCGGCGCGCTTTGGTGATCGCGGCTGAGGCAAACGCCCCACCCTGGCCAGCGCACGGTTCCTCGACGCCGAGTCAAAGCAAACGAATTCTAGTCTTTACGATCGCTGGTTCTTGGATCCTGGAATGAGCAGGTGCGAGGTCCCACCCCGCACCGACGCCACGCATGTCTGGCTTGTGTGCATCAGCCAAAGGCGGTCGTGGGCGTCATGTTCGGCGTCTCCGCTGGGGCGCCGGTCGACATGGTGTATGCCTTGGGCGGGGAGTGCTTGGCGGCGTCCAGCCCCATGTCTTCCGTCTTCTCGTCGATTCGCAGCTTGCCGGTCATCTTGAGCACGAAGAAGGTGACGCCGGAGAGGGTCCCAGACCACAAGATGATCGCGAGGATCATTACTATGTGGGCGGCGAGCACATTGCCAGTAGCGTAGTCGTCGCAACTCCCCGTGTCTGGGTCGACCGTGCAGCTGAAGCCGCTCCAGCCGTGGAAATGCTTGAAGCCGACGCCCCAATCGAAGAAGAACGCAGCAAGCACGCCCCAGATGCCGCAGGCGCCGTGGACCGGGACAGCGTCCACCGGGTCGTCGATCTTGAGCTTCTGGAGCAGCATGGAGCATCCCTGGTACACAAAAGCACCGATGAATCCAATCATGAGGGCACTGCCGGCCTCCACGTTGCCGCAGGGGGCCGTGATGGACACCAGGCCGGCCAGGATGCCGTTGCACAGGCCGCCCACGTCGTAGGTGTGCGAGAGTAGGTACCGCAGGAAGAAGACGGTCATGCCGCCAGTCGCGGCGGAGATCGTCGTGTTCATGGCCACCTGGGCGGCCAGCAGGCCAGCGCCCTCGTTCATCGACAGGGTGGAGCCGCAGTTGAAACCATACCAACCGAACCACAGGATGAAGGTGCCCAGCACGACAAGCGGCAAGCTGTGCGCGTCGAACTGCTCGGGATGCTCGAAGCGGCCCTTGCGTGGTCCCAACACGATGGTGCCTGCGAGCCCAGCAACGCCGCCGGTGAGGTGAACGATGCCGCTGCCCGCGAAGTCGATGATCTGGGCGTCGAACAAATTGCTGAGCCACCCGTAGCCCCAGGTCCACGCGACGACCACGGGGTAGATGAAAGACGCCATCACGAAGGCAAAGACTGCGTACGTGGGGCTCAGAACGCGCTCGGCGACAGCGCCGCTGACGATTGTCGCGGCAGCAGTGCAGAAGGCCCACTGGAAGAACCAAGCGAGAGCAATGCCATTCGATACGATGGCCCCCTCAGTTTCGTAGTTGTTGAAGTCTTTACCAGCAAAGCCGTCGGTGCCAATGAAACCATTCCCTCCTGTCTCCACCTGGGGCGTGTGGTCATCAACGCCGTAAGCGAAGGCCCACCCGAACCAGTACCACCCGATCGTGCCCATGCACACGTTCACGAGGTTCTTCATCAACACGTTCGACGCGTTCTTTGCCCTGCAGCTACCCGTCTCAAGCATGGCGAAGCCTGCGTGCATGAACATCACCAGCGCGCCACACAAGATCAGCCAAGACGACGTCATCGCGCTCTCCGTGCCGGTCAGGCGCCGATCCGTCTCTGCCGCCAGCTGCTCCGCCTCCAGGCGCCGAGCCCCCAGGCCCGCGCGCAGCTCCTCGCGCAGCTCCGCGCGCAGCTCCTCGCGCAGCTCCGCCACGTCCGCGCGCAGCCCCTCGGGGTCTGGGGCGCCCGCGGCCGCGCCCGTCGCGAGCCAGAAAGCCAAGAGGCACATCGACGCTGCCATCGTCGCGGTGCGACAGCGGCCGCGATTGTTGTGGGCGCCCGCGCGCGATCCTGCGTGCCAGGGAGAGCTGACAACAGAACGGCTTGAGACAGAACATCAGAAATATGACTGCGCATGCTACTCCTGCAACTGCGACGACGACTACTCCTACTCCTACTCCTACTCCTACTTCTACTTCTACTACTACTACTACTACTACTACTACTACTACTACTACTACTACTACTACTACTACTACTACGAGTACTACTACGAGTACTACTACTACTATGCTACTACTACGACTACTGCTACTACTACTACTACTACTACTACTACTACTACTACTACTACTACTACTACTACTGCCACTACTACTACTACTACTACTACTCCTACGACTACTACTAATACTACTACTACTACTACTACTACTACTACTACTACTAATAGTACTACTTACTACTACTACTACTTACTGACTACTATACTACTTCTTCTACTAGTACGGACTACTACTACTACTACTACTACTACTACTACTACTACTACTACTACTACTACTCTACTACTACTACTACTACTACGACTACTACTACTACTACTACTACTACTACTACTACTACTACTACTACTACTACTACTACTACTACACTACTACTACTACTACTACTACTACTACTACTACTACTACTACTACTACTACTACTACTACTACTACTTACTACTACTTACTACTACTTACTACTACTTACGATTACTACTACTACTACTACTACTACTACTACATCTACTACTACTACATCTACTACTACTGCTATTACTACTCCTACTGCTACGAAGACTACTACTACTACTACTACTACTACTACTACTACTACTACTACGACTACTACTACTACTACTACTACTGCTACTATCACTACTACTACCACTACTACTACTACTACTACTACTACTACTACTACTACTACTACTACTACTACTACTACTTCCCCCTGGATTAAAAAGTGGTGATCAGCACTATGCCAGGGAACACCCCCTGGGTCTTCGCCCATCGAAAAACACTCCAGCTTCGACCTTCGATCGATCCCAAGTAACTCCCAGACAGAGTCGTGACCCGAACGGAGGAAGGGCGACGCAGGGGCGGACGAGACGCGCCGTTTGTTAGGACAGCCCAGACGAAGTCGCCACTCTTTGGCGGTGTGAAAGGCGCTCGAAAAATACCCGGCGAAGGATTCTCAAGCGATATCGCCACTATCAAGCGGCATGAAGATGGATCCGATTTATTTCCGAGGATGTCCCACGCGAAATCGCCACTTTCAAATGCCGCGGCAAATTTTCAGATCGCCCTGGAAGGCGATCTGATTTTTGTTTGCGTTTGTCCCTAGCGGAATCACATTTTCAGACGCTGACCCCATTTGGCCTTTATAATATTAAAAAGGGTGAGAGATGCATCTAAATTCCCGAATCGGCCCCGAGTCCAACATTGTCCTGGGGCCCCATGTCCTAACGGGAGGCCAACCGTGTCTTTCTCGACCCCCACGGTCTGCACATTTTAATCCAGCGGGTACTGCGACGACTACTACTACTAATACTACTACTACTACTACTACTACTACTACTACTACTACTACTACTACTACTACTACTACTACTACTACTACTACTACTACTACTACTACTACTACTACTACTACTACAACTACTACTACTACTACTACTACTACTACTACTACTACTACTACTACTACTACTACTACTACTACTACTACTACTACTACTACTACTACTACTACTACTACTACTACGACTACTACTACTACTACTACTACTACTACTACTACTACTACTACTACTACTACTACTACTACTACTACTACTACTACTACTACTACTACTACTACTACTACTACGACTACTACTACGACTACTACTACTACTACTACTACTACTACTACTACTACTACTACTACTACTACTACTACTACTACTACTACTACTACTACTAACTACTACTACTACTACTACTACTACTACTACTACTACTACTACTACTACTACTACTACTACTACTACTACTACTACTACTACTACTACTACTACTACTACTACTACTACTACTACTACTACTACTACTACTACTACTACTACTACTACTTGTACGACCCCTACTACAACTACGACTGCTACTACTACTACTACTATTATTACTACTACTACTACCACTACTACTACTACTACTACTACTACTACTACTACTACTACTACTACTACGACTACGAACAATACTAATACTACTACTACTACTACTACTACTACTACTACTACTACTACTACTACTACTACTACTACTACTACTACTACTACTACTACTACTACTACTACTACTACTACTACTACTCCTACTATTACTTTTACTACTACTAATAGTATATCCGATATGCTACTACATATAAGTCTGGGCTGCAAGGACAACTAGAAAACACTACGATGTGCCAACCGCTACTACCATCAATACTTGGCAATTGGCCCTGGGCAACCGGCGCGAGCTTGCACGCGCTAGCGCAGCCGCAGAGATGCGCAAGCCACTGCCAAGCAGTCAACGACATCGCGGCGGCATGGGTTGTGCAGAACACGTTGCGGGTGGGACGGTGGGGTGATTGCGCGAGCAGTGGAATTGACAAGTCATGAGTTGGCAAAAATCAATTTCCCCCAACAGAAGAATACATTCAACTCCCTCCCGAACCTGGACTTACGGGTCGCCCTGTGATAATTCAGTGTACATGTGACTATGCCCCATCACTCATTCCCCATATGAACTCAGACCATCCAAACCAAGCCGGTATCGCCACACCACCCCACCGCCCATCCCCGTAGGAGAACACTGTGCGCGCACTGGTCCATGAGTGACAAATAATCCTGTTCAAACAAACTGCACAACCTCCACACGCGCGCGCAGCTGTCGAACTCTCACCAAACGCACACGTGTTGCATGCATGTCAGCATAGAAACAACAACATCCTTGCGACGGACCCAGCCGCATTCAGGCGTGAGCACCGCAAGGCAGGTGGGACGAACGAGGGGAAAAGCACCACGTGGGGCCAAAAGAACATGCGATGGGGTGTGCCGACATAGGGAGGTGCCGCCATGCGGGCGCTGGCACTGGCGCCATTGGTGGAGCTCCCTGTGGCGCATGGGGCCACGAAAAGTGTGAGGAGTGTACCTAGACAGGGCGGTGCCGCCATGCGAACCCTGCCACTGGGGCCTCTAGTGGATCTCCCTGTGGGCCCACGAGACGTGAGGGGTGTGCAGAAAGGGAGGCGGGGCCGCATTGCGAACCCTTTCTCTAGGGTTTTCGGTGGAGCTTCCTATGGGGGGCGTGCCGAAATGCGAGGCGGGAGCTCATGCGAACCCTGCCCCTGGGGCCTTCGGTTAAGCTCCCTATGCGTGTGATGGGCGCGCCAAAATGAGAGACGGGAACACGGGCGAACCCTGGCAGCTGGGCCTCAGTTGGAGCTCCTTATGGGGCCACGAAAGGTGTAATGGGCGTGCGGACATGTGAGCGGCGATGGTGTTGGTGTTGATGCGGAAGCTGATGCTGATTATGGTGTTGGCAAAGACGATGTTGATGCGGGTGACGCTGGCGACGAGGACAGCGGAGGGCGGGGAGGAAGGACAGAAGACGCAGGGCGCGGCTGATTCAACACGGGAACCCAATACCACAAGATGGCTGGGCCAAAACAGCGTAGGCATTCCATTACAACGATTGAAGCTGTTCTGCCCACACGGACTTGCTGGACCAGATGAGCCCATAGGGGCTTAACACTACCGCCCAGAACCCGCACTCTCATGTCATCACGCGGTGCACACGCGTTGACCCAGCGTGCTCCCAACACGCGACTCCAGATCAAATAATTCCATCCAGGCCACACGCGCGCGCCGCCACGCGCGCGTGTCGAAATCCTTCTGGGCTGCTGGCCATCCAAGCACTTCAAGATAGAGCTGTGCAGGACATACCAGGCAAGGTGTTCACCAAGAACTCCCATCACCCTCGTCAGCGGTGTCGCATCACCGCCGACATCGTCATCATCAATCCCGCCGACGCGGCAAGCATCAACCAATCAACTTCATCACCGACACATGGACATCACCATCGCCGTCGTCGTCATCAGCGCCGGCGCCAACATCGCTACTATCAGAATGGTTACCGCCGTTGCCAACATCATCCTGATATCGCGCGAGCCCGAGTCACAAACCCGCACTGACGTGCCTGCGCGCCAGCGCGGCCTCTGAGACGCTCTGGGAAGTGCCCATCGGCAACAACCATCGCGGCTGCATCAGTTGTGCCAAACCAGCTGGGTGCGCTGCTCGCGAGCGTACGCATGCCAACGCGGCCGCAGAGAGGCCCTAGCCAGTAAAAAGCACATCCGCCATCGTGACCGAATGGGTTATGCAAAACAATTTGCTGGTGGGAGGGTGGGATTCCTGCGCGAGCAATGAAGTTGACATCTTACCACTAAAAAGCCATACTTTACACCGCATAGCTGAAGGGGCCCAGGGACACACGAAAAAAATAGACGCAAATCCCAGGGTCCCCCACATGCTCACAAATGTTCTTGGCGCTCGTCTGCCCCACGCGTCCCACAGTTCCCCAGGGAATAGACGGTTCGCAGTGTCGGTGAGTTCTTCCCTCCCGAATAGCACTCACCTCCACGGTGCGATCACTCGCAGGTCGGGGCCCACGCTGGCCAACATGCTCGACCTGCTTGACTGGGTCTGCGCGGGGTTCACCCGGGCCTCGTGTAGGGCGACTCTGCCAGGGGCTTCGCTCGGCTGCGCTCCGTGGGCGCCTCGGATGGGTGGGTCTGCCGGGGTGTCGCCTGGCTGGCGCCCGAGGGCGCTTCGTGGGCGTCTCATGCGACGGGAGGTGGTGCACTTGTTTCGCCCCGTGGATCGAGATCTGGATGGCGCACTTGCTTGCACCACGTAGCTTAGACCACGCAGATTGCACCACGTCGGTAGCCTGCACCACATCCACCACCGTGCCGCTGGGCACAGAGTGGGCGTGTCCTCAGGTCCTTTGCCCAATCTCCTGAGCCTCAGCACTCACTCCTGATGAATCTTTCAGGGGCCCGGAACCGAAATTGCCGAATCCGCCGGGGCTCGTCGCCTGGCCCCCGGGGTTCCCTGCGTCTCTTCGCGTGACTCTTCCAGGCCCACGAGGGCCCCAAGACGGGACGCAAGGGCCCCAAGAGGCCGCCAAGACGGTCCAAGATCCAAGAGGGCCCCGAGACGCCCAACGATCGCTCCAAAACGCCCAAGATGGGCCCAAGCCAGCCCAAGAGGCCTCCAAGACGCCCCAAGAGGCCTCCACGAGGCCTCCCCAGACGGCCACAAGAGGCAGCAGTTATTGATTGACTAAGGTTTTTGAAGGATTTTGGCGTTCTCGTCTTTTCGGCTTCCCCACGCTCGGAGACGGCCTAAGAGGCCCCCAAGACCACCCCAAGACGGCCCAAAAGGCCTCCAAGAGGGCCCCACGACGGCCTAAGAGCGCCCCAAGACGGCTCAAGAGGCGCCCAAGTGGGCCCCAAGACTGCCCCACAAGGAGCCCAAGAGAGCGAGCCTTCCGCTCCAAGAGGCCCCCAGGAGGCCTCAAGAGGCGCCCAAGAGGCCCCAAAAGGCCCCAAGAGGCCCCCAAGAAACCCAAAGGGCTGCAAAACAGCCCCCAGGAGGCTTCAAACCTGCCTCTAAGAGGCCCCCGAGAGCCCCCCCCCACGAGATTCCAGGAGGCTTCATACCCACAACCCAAGCATGGTGGCGGGATTGTCCGAGGGCCATTAGATAGTTTGCACCACGTAGCTTGCGCTTCACAGCTTGCACCGCGAAGCTTGCACCGCTGAACTTGCTTTCACCACGTAGCCTTCAGGTCTAGTGCAAGAACGCACTGTGCGGGGTCCACGCTAGCAAACATTTTGTCGTGGACATCGCCTGGGCCGCCACATCCGCAAGAATCCTTGGGCAGTGCACCTCGATACCTCCGATCTGCCCCCCTCCACTCCCTCGTGCCCAGCATGATGGCGTCTCGAGGCTCGGGGAGGGCGTCTTGCCCTCCCACCCCAGACTTTCGACAGGTGTGGGCCTCCACCCCACAAAGTGCGAGACTCTACCGCAAGGAACCCGACACCAGCCTGTGGCCGTGAACCTCAACTTTTAGACAGAACCGCGCCCCTGTGGCGAAATAGCCCAGCGAGGCAATGGTGAGACTCCATCCCACGAAGAATACATCAACTCCAACGAGTTGTCAAATCAAAGCGACGACGGCGCGTGGGTGATCGCGGTTGGGGCAAACGCCCCACCCTGGCCAGCGCACCTTCCTCGACGCCGTGTCAAAGCAAGCGAATTCTGGTCTTTTCAGTTGCCAATTCCAGGTTCCTGGAATAGGCGGCTGCGAGGTCCCACCCCACACCTAAGCCGCGCACGTCCGACTGAGTGCGCCTCAGCCAAAGGCTTGCGTGGGGTTCATGTTCGGCGTCTCCGCTGGGGCGCTGGTCGACATGGTGTACGCCTTGGGCGGGGAGTGCTTGGCGGCGTCCAGCCCCATGTCCTCCGTCTTCTCGTCGATTCGAAGCTTGCCGGTCATCTTGAGCACGAAGAAGGTGACGCCGGAGAGGGTGCCAGACCACAAGATGATCGCGAGGATCATGACTATGTGAGCGGCGAGCACATTGCCAGTAGCGTAGTCGTCGCAATTCCCCGTGTCGGGGTCGACCGTGCAGCTGAAGCCGCTCCAACCGTGGAAGTGCTTGAAGCCGACGCCCCAGTCGAAGAAGAACGCAGCAAGCACGCCCCAGATGCCGCAGGCGCCGTGGACCGGGACAGCGTCCACCGGGTCGTCGATCTTGAGCTTCTGGAGCAGCATGGAACATCCCTGGTACACAAAAGCGCCGATGAGCCCGATCGTGAGGGCACTTCCGGCCTCCACGTTGCCGCAGGGGGCCGTGATGGACACCAGGCCGGCCAGGATGCCGTTGCACAGGCCGCCCACGTCGTAGGTGTGCGTGAGTATGTACCGCAGGAAGAAGACGGTCATGCCGCCAGTCGCGGCGGAGATCGTTGTGTTCATGGCCACCTGGGCAGCCAGCAGGCCAGCGCCCTCGTTCATCGAGAGGGTGGAGCCGCAGTTGAAACCATACCAACCGAACCACAGGATGAAGGTGCCCAGCACGACAAGCGGCAGGCTGTGCGCGTCGAACTGCTCGGGGTGCTCGAAGCGGCCCTTGCGTGGTCCCAACACGATGGTGCCTGCGAGCCCGGCAACGCCGCCGGTGAGGTGAACGATGCCGCTGCCCGCGAAGTCGATGATCTGGGCGTCGAACAAGTTGCTGAGCCACCCGTAGCCCCAGGTCCACGCGACGACCACGGGGTAGATGAAAGACGCCATCACGAAGGCAAAGACTGCGTACGTGGGGCTCAGCACGCGCTCGGCGACAGCGCCGCTGACGATTGTCGCGGCAGCAGTGCAGAAGGCCCACTGGAAGAACCAAGCGAGAGCAATGCCATTCGATACGATGGCCCCCTCAGTTTCGTAGTTGTTGAAGTCTTTACCAGCAAAGCCGTCGGTGCCAATGAAACCATTCCCTCCTGTCTCCACCTGGGGCGTGTGGTCATCAACGCCGTAAGCGAAGGCCCACCCGAACCAGTACCACCCGATCGTGCCCATGCACACGTTCACGAGGTTCTTCATCAGCACGTTCGACGCGTTCTTTGACCTGCAGCTACCCGTCTCAAGCATGGCGAAGCCTGCGTGCATGAACATCACCAGCGCGCCACACAAGATCAGCCAAGACGACGTCATCGCGCTCTCCGTGCCGGTCAGGCGCCGATCCGTCTCTGCCGCCAGCTGCTCCGCCTCCAGGCGCCGAGCCCCCAGGCCCGCGCGCAGCTCCTCGCGCAGCTCCGCGCGCAGCTCCTCGCGCAGCTCCTCGCGCAGCTCCGCCACGTCCGCGCGCAGCCCCTCGGGGCCCGGGGCGCCCGCGGCGGCCGCGCCCGCCGCGAGCCAGAGAGCCAGAGGCGCATCGGCGCCGCCATCGTCGCGGTGCGCCAGCGGCCGACCGATTGCTGTGGCACGCGCGGACCGCTGGCGAGAGCTGCACAGAAACACGGCCTCAAGCCAGAACGGATTGTGGAACGCTGCCGCCCGACAAAATGCGACTCTGGAACGGTCGCCTGCATTCCTTCGAGGCGGCGGGTGTCTGGGCCGCGCGCTTCGCGGTCGCGCATGCGGCCAGGCGCGATTCTCTTCGCGCTCTGGCGTGATTCTCTTCGCGCTCTGGCGTGACCTCACAAAACACCAACTCTGGCCCCTGACCTCCTCGCGTCGAAGAAAAACCACGTCCAGGGGGCCTCACCCGGCCGGAGCCGGGTCGGAGGGAAAGGGAGATAGGGGAGGGGGGAGATTCACGATTAGTTGGACACCTGATGTGGGTACGAACAAAAACTGCTACGATACCCAACAGCGAACGGCGTCCAAAACCGACCGTAGCCGCTTTCGGGCAGGCGGCATCCTGTCTCAAGAAACGCTCGCGGCAGCACCGACAGCGAGTCCAATTCAAAATTCCCAGGAACGGCTGACGGTCTCCGTCCACATGTTTTCAGTACCGACTTGGGTCGTACCAAGAATTGCCTCAGCATGATGTTGGCTTGAGGTCGGGCATGTCCCCCTACAGGCGGACTTCGGGCGAAACATAAACAATACCCCCAAAATATGCAAAACAAAAATGATAGAAAAATCGTTCCCAGGTTACTGCCTCAGTATTTTGAATACTCCTTCTGTAAAGGGACACGCCCGACTGAATGTTGGCTTTCCCTGCCAAGCCTATCCCAGCCTGACGCCAGAGGCAGCCATGCCTCGAGAAGAGAGCCTGCGCGGCGGGGCCGAGACCTGCAGCTCGCGACACTAGAATCCGCGCCCCGCCCCCTTCACCAAATGCCCCTTTCCCTGGCATCAGCGCGTCGGGAAAGAAGTCGCTTTGGAGTCCTGAAACGGTGCGGTGACAGACCGTGCGGTGACTTCGAAGTCCCCCAAGACCTCACCGCACGGCGCGTCAGCGCACGGTTTTGGGACCTCGGATGCCCCAGCTGCCCGAGACGTCCGCGGAGAACGACCCGAGACCCCAAAACCGTGCGGTGACCCCGAATCCCCACCGACTCACCACACGGTGTGGTCACCACCCCGTTCGGGGGCCCCCGAAACTGACGACGGGATGCTTCCGGCACCCGGGACAGTTGTCAATCGACATCTCAAGGTAATACAAAAACAGAGAATTGAGGGGTACCTCTGGGAAACTGCGTTGAGAACAACATACCCTCGCAACACACCCTAACAGCAGTAACCTGCGTCGAGCGAGAGAACGAAATGAGAAAGAGAAGGCCTTCTCAGAAGGCGGCGGGGCTTCTCAGAACCCACCACGCCTTCCGAGGCGGCGGGGCTTCTCAGAACCCACCGCGCCTTCCGAGGTCTTCCGCGCTTTCGGGGGAGGCTCAGAAAACTTCTCAGAGGGCCGGGGGACGTCCGAGCCTTCTGGAAAGGCCCGCCCCTCCTCACCTCCCCCCCCTGGCTCGCCGCCGAGGTAAAAGGTGAAGAGACGGGTCGAGGAGTACAGTCGGGGCGTTGACCTAAGGAACCTGAAATAAGGAACGAGGCCCCTGGATCCCAGAAGTTGAACTTCGATTTCCCATCGAAGCCCTAAGCAAAACCCAAGGCGAACTGCAAAACAACTGAGGAACACCGAGCCCCTCCCCAACGAAGAGGGTTCCTTCCTCAGTGCCCCGACTGCAGGAGGTCCCCCGCAGGGGGCGGGGGCGAGAGCTCGGCGACGTGCACCCGTGGTGTCTATACTGCATATTTCGGCCGGGAGCGTGGCCGTCCAGACCACAGCAGGGACTCGACCACGAGAAGCCTTCCACAAGAAACCCCATCCCTGAGACCCCAAGACGTCCATTGATATTGAGGGAGGGAACCTCGCCATCACTCGGACGTCCATTCCCTGTGTTTTGTTCGGTTTCGTGCGTGGTTTTTCCGCCGAATGATCAAGGATGCTCCTCGATGGTCCTCGCCGAAAGAAAAATGCACACGTCCGAGCGATGCCAAGGACCTCGACCACGAGAAGCCTTCCCCGAGAAACCCAACCCTGGGACCCCAAGACGTCCAGTGAGATTAAGGGAGGGAACGTCACGCTTCCCATAGCAGAGCCATATCGAAACCCAAGAAACCCAGGGCACCCTGTAGGCAACAAGACTGACTACCTACCAGACCACCCGAACCCAACCCGAAGACCCGAATTTCGGGTTGGGGGGGGTAAGGGTTCCACATGGCTTTTTTCGATGTTTCCCGACCGCCCCCCACTGGAGATGGAGGGTAAATCTGAGCCTTCGGGTTGGGTTGGGGTGGTTTGGTGGGTGGTGAAAGACGTCCATTAATATTGAGGGAGGGAACGTCACGCTTCCCACAGCAGAACCATCGAAGCCCAAGAGACCCAGGGCACCCTGGAGGCAAGCAGGGTGCTCCTTGGCATGGGCTTCCCCTGTGCATTTCGCCGAGGGGGCGTGGCCGTCCAGACCAGATATGTGGCCGGCACTGAGGCGAGAGCCCGATTCCTGCACACACACACACACACACCGCGAGGAACTCTCAGGCGAAACAGCTGCGCGGCCAGGCGATCTCGGGGGGGGGATCCCAGGCTCCTCGTCCCCCCGTGTGGGACTCTCTCTTTGGTCCTTGCTTGCCTCTGCTGTCAGGTCGGGCCTGTCCTCCTACGGGCGAATTTTGGACAAAGAATTAAACACAATCAAAAATATTCAAGACATGCTGACAAACATCGTCCCCAGACTACTTGGACTATTTTTGGGCATCCCTTCTGTAAAAGGACACGCCAGACTTAACTCTACTGTATGAGAATCCTCTGGCGACACGATATTGGGGAATCACGGCGTCGGAAAGATCAGGGTAAAAACGACGACGACCACCACCACGACAACGGCGACGGCGACGACGGTGTCGCCGAGGTTCTCCAGGGTGCGGTATACTCCATCTGTGCTGACATACACGCCAAGCGTGCCCATTATAGCCGCGAAGCCTCGACTTTCAGGGTATGCGGCGCAAGATTGGAACAAAAACTGACCCTGGGAAAGGGGGACCTCGAGATGTTTGCTCTATGATTTCCGGTGACGGTCGTTACCTGGGGGGGGCGGGGGCAGGTGACAGGAAGGCTTGGGCGGGGTGGGGCACGTCGGGGCGGGGGTGCGCTGCGGTCGCCATAATATGCGCGCGAGCGCCACCTCGTGGGAGGACCAACTGCCCCCACACGATCGCTGCCGTTACCCAAGGGTGGGGGTGGGGGGGCAGGTCACGACCGTTATGCGCCGGGGGATCAGATACAATGTATCCTCACGGGGGGCCACATGGAACACAAAAACTACGACGTCACAGATCTGGGACGACGTCGGGCGCCTGGGCAAACAGTCGAGGCCTCCCAAATGGGGTCCGAAGAGATGGGATCGGTGGATCGCGCCGCATCGCCGATGCATCGGCGACGTCGGCGATGCGTCCGACACCAAGAGATCCAGACCGAACCGCATCGCCAATGCATGCGGCGCGTCCCTCCGACCCCATTCGCTCGGACCCCATCTGGGTAACCTAGAACCAGAAAGCTACCCAGACCGCTACACCACAGACTTCTCCTGGAGTGCGTTCAGACCTGGATCCCTGAAACCCTCGGGGCGTGAGTGCTCTAGCATGTTCCCTCTTCCTCTCATGGGGGGGTTATCACTGTTCCCTATTAGTTTACTCCCCTCCCCAAGGCGACCGGCAGCCAACCAGGAACAATGAATGAGGACACCATGCCCCTCCCTTTTCCCACCATCCCTGTCAAAAAAAACAATACAAAACGCACTGTGCCTCCACATTTGGAGCATGCGCGGCGAACCCGATGCGGCTCCCCCCGCCCATCCCTGTCAACAAAACAATACAAAGTACACGTTGGGGCAAAGCATTGACTCATGCTCGTGAAGCCCACAAGCATTTTGCATGGTTTTTGAAAGGGGCGGCGGGGGTGTGAGCATATTGCCTGCTGCGCGCAGGGCTACCCTCCCTGACAAAAAATGCAAAATGCACCTCGCGGCGAATTCTGGAGCATGCGCGACCCCCCCTTATCACTGCCAAGTGAGTTTTCACAGGGACGGCGGGGGTGGTCGCGTATGGACTGCTGTGCACAGGCCCACCAGACACAATGATGAGCATTGGTTTTCGAAATGGATGGTGGGGTCCGACATGCTTCCCGATGTGTGCTGTCACGTGCGAAGGGGGACCTGACACCCTCTGCAACTACGCCGAACGTGGCTCACCTGGCGCGGCTGGAGTATGCGGCACACCTGGCGCACGCGCAGCACGTGGCGCATCTGGCGCACTAGGCGTTCCTGGCACGCTCGGGCCCCAGGGGTGCCTGGCGCGCGTGGCGCGCCTGGCGCGCGAAGCGCACCTCGCCCCACCGTCGCGCACATGGGATCTGTTTGGGTTCCCAGCAGCTCCATCCAAAGACTACCGCCGAGCATGCTCATGCTCGGGTGTTATTCGTGTGTTGGGAGGACGAAGGGGAACGAGCTATACGGCTTGCTATCTAGGATGGTGTCTTCACCACTCCCCCTACTGACTGTCTCGATGTAGATCGGGCGGTGCCTGCTACCTGCAGAACCTGTCCTGACACCTCCCCACGGCTGACCCCTGTGGGGACGTGGGGGCGCATTAGGGAAAAGGTGAGACGCGAGAGGTGGGGCAAAACTTTGGGGTTCGACCCCAGAAAGGAGAAAGAGGGAGGAGGGGGGGCACCTAGACCACTCCCCCTACCACCTCCCCCTGGGTCTGGAGGAGGGGACGAGGGGTTGGAGCGTCCAAGATGGCCTCGGCGAGGAAGCCAACCACAAATCGTTGACTGTACAACGGCTTTGGCCACATGCCGCCTCCAGAGCGGGGGCCGCCAATGGGTTACAGCCTGTCCTTTGGGATCGGATCTCCTCCACGATGGCCCCCGAAGCTCCCAAGGGTGCCACAAAACGGCCCAACGAGGAGCCCCAAAGAGGGCCCAAAGGGGCCCCCAAAGAGCCCCCCAAGATGCCCCAAAAGAGGCTCCCAAGGGGCCCCAAGAGGCCCCCCAGAGGCATCCAAGACGCCC